CTGAATGTAAAGAGCGTTAAATTAATTAATTAATGAACTAGACAAAGAAACAATCTTTTTAGAGCTAATTTCCTTCATAAACTGTATGTAAAATTTACGGCTAAATGATCCACATTTTATTTATTTTTTTGTGTGATATATCCATCTTGCACAGGGGATATAAAGGGGATATATCGATTATTGTGTTTCATTTTTTTTGTATTAATCTGGAGACAGTGTTTTCTTGCTATCTTTATAAAAGCATGGATCCTCAAATATTTTTTCTATTAATTTGTAAGTTATAGACTTTGCTTTTTGCACGGTCCAATATTTAAGTGTGCATTTATCACGCTTAACATCTCATTTCAGCGTATTCATTTCTATATGTAGTTGTTCAGTGTGTGTAGCTAGGTAAGCGCCCGTAATTACTATGAGAGGCTTTTTTAGTATATAATACATCCGTAATTAATTTTCCAATGTAAAAGTACATCATAAAGTATGTATAGGCATTTTTTGTCAGCCACCGCCCCCATTCTTTTCCCTTAATTGATCGCATTATATTGTGATATTTCTCGCATCGCGTTATTAAATCATCGATATGATTTTTCCATGTTCAAGTTTTATCAAATTTCATTCCTAGTAATTTCGCGGGATATTTGTATTAAGTTCAATGAAAATTTGGATGTTTTCGCTACCATTTCTTTGTTTTTCTATAAATATAATTTGCTTTTTGATAGATTTTATTAAGAAACCGTATGCTTTAGTCCAGTCATCTATTTCAGTAAGTAGTGTTTTTATTTTTTCTATGAATTTACTTATTTAAGATGGTATTTTACTTTATATATTTAAAAAAATGTCAACGACTCCAAGCAATTAATTACAATTTGTTTACATGTTTAGTTTCTTTTCATAGATTAAACCGAAACACCGTATCCGTTCGGTATATTCTTGATATTCGACGAGGTCCTTATTCGAAGACTGACGAAAAGGGCCGAAAAGTTGCGACTTGATTTCTAACAATGCAATTCCGCAATTTTGGTCATTTGTATTTCAAGAGATAACTTTGAAATGTTGAACCTGATTCTTTATCTTGTAGACGCTTGTTCTGATCGAGGTAATGCGATCAAAGCGCCTTATGACCCCGATCAAATTAAGTCAGCACCTTCGGATACCTGATATTTATGAATGTCAAGAGTGAGGTAGTTAAAGCGCCTGAATGATCGCGATCAGATAAAGACAGCGTCTACGAGTGTTCGATATATATGGCATTCAACGCTACAGGGGTCCGTTAAGTTATATGCCTTAAGGTGTATTCTTATATGTTGTCGATAAAATATAAAGCGGCTTAACAAATAAGCCAGTTGTTCTTGATTAAAGGGTTGCTGCGGTAAAGGAGTTCTGTTGTAAAGGAGTTAAGTTGTCGTAATCTCCCCATTTTTTGACGACGAGGCATTTTTCTTAATAACACTACAAATTGAACATGATAGTTATTACTGATCGACTTGTGTACATAGTGCAGCCTCAAACATTCTAATGTAAGACATTGATTGAAATACATATATAACATATATGTGTCAATACCAATCTTAAATGCATTATGAATACATGTATACACAACAGCTACATCTTCATCATCATCATCATCATCATCATCATCAGCAGCAGCAGCAGCAGCAGCAGCAGCAGCAGCAGCAGCAGCAGCAGCAGCAGCAGCAGCAGCAGCAGCAGCAGCAGCAGCAGCAGCAGCAGCAGCAGCAGCAGCAGCAGCAGCAGCAGCAGCAGCAGCAGCAGCAGCAGCAGCAGCAGCAGCAGCAGCAGCAGCAGCAGCAGCATGAGAATTCCTTTATTCATTGGTAATTGAAAATAAGAACTGCATAAGCTAAACCCATCCCAATTTTACATTCAAGTGATTGATACGGTAATGAATGAATGAATGAATGAATGAATGAATGAATGAATGAATGAATGAATGAATGAATGAATGAATGAATTTCGTACTGTATCTGCACATCGAGTTAAATATTAGTTTCCTACAACATTCTCAAAGGGTTATTCATGTGCACATTTTAAAACTAAAATGAAATAGATTGAAAATGTTTTGACAATTTTAAAAGCTAAAATTCGACATGACGAAAAGGTAAAATATACTTACCAATTACAGGTAAGGTGATACACACACTTTAGATATTTTTCAACATATTAAAAAAATATATTATTTGTTCATAATTTCGAAAATACATTTTTTTATTTTACAAAATTCAATGATCGACATGACAATACAATATATTAACTTTGCAGACAGTTTAAAATAAATATCAATTTCATTGCAAAATATCAATTTTCTCTATATATCTACCTAATCAGCATTTTCACTATATATTTAAGTGGTCAGCATTTGCTCGCCTGAATGAAGGTTAAATTTGCTGATCATATAGAAAAAGAAGAGTTTTACGGCTTTTATCAATTTAAATTAATATTAAATTGATCAGCATTTTATTTTTGTACTAAATTTAATCGTTGACATGACTTAATACAATATATTAACTTTGCAGACAACATAAAATGAATAATATTTTCACGGCAAAATATCATTTTTCTCTGTACATCTTTCTCGCTTGCATGTAAAGAGCGTTAACTTTACCGAACATATAGAATAAGAAGTTTTACGGCCTTAAATAAAATTGAATTAATATCTAGGTGATCAGCAGTTTTTCACAAATTTAAATGGTCGGCATGATTTAATAAAAATATGTTTTCCTGAATTTAAAGGCGTTAAATTAATTAATTAATGAACTAAACAAAGAAACAATCTTTTAAGAGCTAATTTCCTTCGTAAACTGTATGTAAAATTTACGGCTAATTGATCCACATTTTATTTATGTTTTTGTGTGATATATCCAAAGATGGTCATTTGTGTTTTTCACACCATGCAATTCGATCTCAATCTGATTAAAGGGTAATAAAACTTAATTGATGGAATGTTTTCACAAGATTTTGGGGTGTGAACATACATATGGGGCCAATCAGATATATGTCATTGATTCATTTTGCATTCCAATCAATTTATTAGCCGAATTCATTGGTAATTGAAAATAAGAACTGCATAAGCCTAACCCCGCCCAACTTTACAGCTAAATGATTATGGTACGGTCTCAAAAATTCAAAGTAATCATGCAATGAATGAATGAGTGAATGAGTGAATGAGTGAATGAGTGAGTGAGTGAGTGAGTGAGTGAGTGAGTGAATGACTGAATGACTGAATGACTGAATGAATGAATGCATGAATGAATGAATGAATGAATGAATGAATGAATGAATGAATGAATGAATGAATGAATGAATGAATGAAGGTTAAATTTGCTGACCATATAGAAAAAGAAGAGTTTTACGGCTTCAATTTGAATTAATATTAAAGGAATAGGAATGGATGGATTGATGTCTGTCTAATATAAATATTCATCATTTAAAAAGAGGTACCATGACAGTTTTTCTGTTGACATCAACCCTATAAGTGAGAAATTCGTGTTTTAAGACACTACTTTTTACTTGAGAAATAAGTTCATGGGCGCCGCCATTTTGGCGTTCTGTCATTCTCGCGAGACAGACGAGACCGAGATTGTGACGTGTTACACCCACTTCCGGTTAGTTGTACACGCTGGTACAACTGAAATATATCTTGGTGAAGAACTTATTAATCTTATTGCGTACATTATATATTATTTATGAAAACATCATATGGAACTGAATTGCTTTAATTAATTAATTGAAGACACCGCGACATTAATTATCATTTGTCCGATTTTCAAGCTTGATGATGATCCCACCACATGATTTAAGCAATGACTGCTTAATTTTCAAAGATAACCATTAATTTAATTTGGGTACTATGAATTGACGATATATCCTTTTATTTTGTACTTAATTTTCGCTAGACAAACTGTCCGAATAGGGTACATCGCCGGTCATGTATCTTTTTTTCAGCGTAAAATATCAACTAAATCCAATATGCAAAGATCTACTGAGGACGCGATTTTCCGCCATTGACGCTAAAAATGAGAATGGTGAGAATGGCGCAGGAAATTCGGCAGCCAGACTAATATCGTAAGAAAACAAAACTGCCCGTTAGGTTATTTAGGCACCCAGTCAAAACTGGTACCAACAGCAAAAGATTGCCCATTCCCCTGTTATTACAATGTACGCATATTCTCGGGTTTATCCAGTTCCCTATAACATTTTTCCACGTTATCTACTTACCCAATTCCTTTCCCACACAGATACGCATTTCTACTACCGTAAATTTAATCCAATAAAACAAAAAAAATCATAAATCTACTTAATATTTAAAATGATTATTGGTTGCTGAAAAAAATATGTTGCTATTTTATGACATGCTGTCATTTACAGCATAATTCGACGGTGTGGCACTTAATTTCTCCTGAGGTCATTCAGGTCACCGATGAAGCGTAAAAAAATAGATGTCTATTTCGTCATTAGAATATTTGACAAGGGTAATTAACCAATCAGGGCAACATTGTGCATGATCAAAAGGTCTGTCGGCACAGAGGCATACAAGGAGCAATAAAAATCGTCAGTACACAGTGTGACAGGAACAGTAGGTGCAAATAAGGATCAATTAAAATGGACAATGCACAGTATTAGACATAAGTAGAAAGAACCAGCAGTTGTGTGAATAAATTATGCAAATTAGATTTTTGAGCAGCCAATAAAAATGTTTTGCCTGCATTTCATATTAGGCTACGATTACGCCGGCAGCATCATACGTTGACAGACATGTTAAAAATTTACTTTTCAAAAGAGTTGCTTATATTTTTGAAATGTGTACATCAATTATAACATATGTTCACACCTTTAAATTTGAAAATCAGAATCAAACTGCAAAAAATTAATTACATGTACTATTAAGAACACGTTTTAGTAGGATTTTCACAATAATGATAATTATCGCCGTTCAATAATTAACAGCCAATTATTCGTTGGTGCGTTCGTTTATTTAATTCTCTTTATTCCAATAGCCCATAATCCTTTGCGGCGTAGTGACTTCCGGTTTACTTCAGGTAGACGAAAGTGTAAGAAATCGAGATAGATTATCAACACAAATTATGTAAAATACAGACTAAATAGAGAGTCAGGTATGAAAACAACGATTGTTATTGATAACATTTATAATATTTTTGTATTCCAATTTTTTGTGTGTGTCTAAATGATAAAAAATAGCCCAAAAAGCGTCGGTTAAAATTTTCTGCAAGTGGGTGGGGTAACGGCTATATCCTGGATTAGTCCAGAAGTATATATTAGGTTCATTTCGTTTCCTCTATTTAATTATATAGAAGATATTCTACTTCAAATATACACCGGGGTTTAATCTAGGAGATTGCCTGGGTAACAAATAAAATCCACCAAGACAGCGAGTTATTGTGGTGGAACAATAAGTAGACTATCTTGGACCTATCAGATATACAACAAAGAACATCTAAAGCAAATAACTAACTTAAATTCATCAAAATAAATGTCAAAATAGACAAAGGTAAAAGAAAATATAATTTATATAACTTGCATAAGGCCCTGGGCAGTTAGAGTAAAGTTCTATGGTTTGGCATGATTTCGAGTCAAGAATCCTGGTCAGCTTTGTCCTCAAATGTACTCGACCCCAGAGTCAGCTCGGCATGGGTCAACTGGTCCCACTTTTCAATTATTAATATTTAGGTTTGTGTTATCACTATTTATTGTAATTATTTATAATACACGGATTGACAGTTTCCGAACTAGCAGGCAGGCTTTTCTTGTCAGTAGAATTGTGAGTAAATATAACCGATTGCGTCTATCACTGTATTTCTGACTCGTGGTAGGTTTAACCGTAAATTTAAATACCTTCAGTGTCAAACAATGTGTTGAAATATATACAACTTTTTTCTAAATATACATTATTTCGGCAGAAGTACAATGTTTAATTATAAAATAATCATTCATTTACCTTAACAACATGCAAAGCAAAGTTAATACGTTATATATATTTTGAAAAGTGGGCCGAGTTGACCTGTGCCAAGTTGGTATAGGGCCAAGTTGACTCTTTTCCTTGGACATACGCCTCCTTATAATGTAAGAGTGGTCCAATTATGTTATCAATAAGGATCACTATTCCAGTGGTTTATAAGGGGGGTAAATGAAGGGGTTTGGTTATTGTAATCTTTATTTTTGATGTGTGGGTGCATTTGAAAAAATAGTTATGCATGAAATAGTAGCATCATTCCATCTGTAATATTTGATTATTGATTGACATGGAGAGACCGAATAAGAAAAATATCACAGCTCTCAGAATTTCAAGTATACTATAGGTTTCTTTATATAAGAAATAAGTCAGTAAGGCATATATCATATGGTTATATGTCTCTGATTAGGTTATTTCCTTTGTTTTAAAAACACTTGTATAAGTTCCATCTCACAAAATATTAATTTTAGCTTACATGTGCCCCACACACTGAGAACCGAAGTTAATCAGTTTATTTCTTTATAAGGCAAATAATAATCTACCTGTGATATATAAATGCAATTTTTGGCTCTGTTTCATGATTTTTATATTAAAATAAGGTGTGGCATATAATGTCACGTTACATTGTACATGTATATATGAAAATGTACCTTTTGAATATCAAATATCTGTGCAACCGTCTCATTTTTTCTTACTTTTTTTCTTTTTCAGACTAATCTCTGCAATGATATTGTAATGTGGTGAATATATGTCTGGTAACTTAAGCTGGATCTACTTTAGCTGGAGCCATGACAAAGCATGGGATTATAAACAAACCTGTAAGTAATTTCCACAGCATTCCATGACATGACAATTGAAAATATGTTATATATAAATGAAAGAAGTACATGAACAGAACATATCCATTTATTTCTGTTGTCATGACTCACTTGTTAGCGTAAATACAAGGAGCCATTAAAAAGAGATGACACACTTTACTGGACCTGTAGTAGAGAATGGAGTTTCCCAAACACTCTGTGCATTTTCTTATTCCAAACAACTCGTGAAACAAGACATACAAAGTAAGATTATTTAAGATTTTAACAGATTTCTGCTATAGAAATACTTTACTTAAAGGTGAGCATTTTACATATTTAAAGGATTAATGTTTAAATCACATACTATCTTATCAAATAAAGGTTATAATTTATTTTTTCTTTATTTTTCAGGGTATAGAATCATTAGTTGGTAAAGAAAACATCAGAGACTACAACAGTGTTGCAAACTTGAAAAATGAACAACTTAAGAAACTATGTAAAGAAAACAATGTGGATGTTAAGCTCCCTAAGAAGGCGCGCATTGTACTCCTGTGTCATATTTTGGGAATTTCAACAACAGGACATTTGCAGTCAGTAAATGGTGTTAAAAGTTCTACCAAACATCTCACTGATGCTCAAAGAGAGGAGTTACATAACATTACTCCAGCATACATGTGTCGGCTAAACAGCTGGAAAAAGGACATTTCATACTTACCAGACATTGAAGAGTCTATAGTGAAGAAGTACTTGATAAATGCTGATGTATTAAATACCAGTGATGCAAGGACATACAAAATTTCACGCCCTTATGCTTTACAGCAGTTTGTACATTCCATTACATACAATGATGAAAGTGGTTCAGACAACTTTACAATCATTAAAGCTCAGTGTAATCCATCCCAATCAACAAATCAAGATGAAATTAAACTGGTGTATGTTGTTATTGACAAGTATTTGGGGGAACCATATGGCGGATTTTGTACTTGTACTGTTGGGAAGAGTGAGAGATGCGGCCATATTGGGGCAGTACTGTTCAAAATTTGTGAACTACAAGCCACGGGTGCATTAGAAGGTCCTTCATGTACCGACACACTTTGTCAATGGTCAGACCCAAAGGGGAGTAAAGTTGAGGCTACAGTTTTTCAGGACTTAAAAATAGGTAAGAAAGGATCGATTAGAAGAACTGTGGATGATTATGGTCAGAAAGTTATGAAACAACAGCCTCCTTCATATGATCAAGTGACTTATTTACGTGCCGCTTTAATTGAAGCATTTCATCCAACTGGCCAGTACTGCCATGCTATTGATGGTATGAACTGCAATAGGTTCAAACCTTCTGGTACTGAATCCCAGTCCTTGCAGATATTTAGTGAATTGCCCAATTCATTGCCCCATGACAGTGAAGCTATCATCCCCGCGAAGAAAGTGGATGTCAAAACTACACCTGTGTCAATAACTCAACTTGTTACTAAAGAATTTGGTAGTGTTGACGACAGTGGTTTCACCTTGGCATGCGAGGATTTATTTGTACAAGCAGCAAATATGGATATAGATATAAAAGAAGTTGACAGTATGACCAAAGGTCAGTCAGATAACCTAGAGTGGCATATTCAAAGAAGAGGTGCAATTACTGCCACCAGGTTTGCGTCTGTGATAAAAGTAACAAGTTCTACTAAAGTGAAGAGCTGTTCTTCATTGACAAATGAAATATTATATCCAAAACAAAATAGACTGAAAAATGTTCCAGCTATAAAATGGGGAATAAAGAATGAAAGTAAAGCTAGACAAGCTTATGTGAACAAAGTTGGACAACATCATAAAAAATTACAAGTAGTAGAGCATGGACTTATGGTATACAGTGATTGTACATTCATTAGAGGTAGTCCAGATGGTATAATAACATGCGACTGCCATGAACCTGTACTTCTGGAAATAAAGTGTCCATTTAATGCCAGAATGCTGACTGTGAAAGAAGGAATTTCTGAGGGGAAAATTAAATACCTTGAGATGGAAAATGGTTGCTGTAAGTTAAAGCAGAATTCACCTGATGGATATTATGCACAGGTACAGGGGTTGATGGGTATCGCCCATGTGAAGAAATGTGTTTTAGTAGTTTGGACAACCCGCGACTTTGTCACAATCAATATTGACTACAATGAGGAGTTCTTTATGAACAAACTTGTCCCATCATGTAAGGAGTTCTTTAAGACATACATCATTCCCAAGCTATTGCTCAAAGAAACCTGTGCAAGTTCACAAGTTTTAGTGGCTGCAAGTACTGACCCATCACATGAAATGACCTATATAGCCACACCCCTAAATGCTCATCAAAATTCAACAGATGAATTCCAGCCTGAGAAAAGGAAGAGATTAAATGCCACTAGCAGTAAAGATTGTTTAGTGAAAAGCATTCCAGAATCCCAAACTCAATTAATCATTCCCTCAACTAATACATTAGTTACTAAAAAAAAAAACCTCAGCTCATTTAATATTGGCAGAAACAGTGACAGAATATAGATGTGCTTCATGTAAGAAACGTTTACCAGAAGACAATATTGCTCCAGATAATTCTGATGCCAGTGTTGGCTGTGACTGTCCAAATTGTGGCGGTTGTGATGTTTGGATGTGTTGGCCTTGTGCCAAATATGACCAAGATTGGGCAGATTCTGGCGACAACTGGTATTGTCCAGAATGTGTCCGGGAATGTGATATCGTTTTCTAAAAATGAATATATACGGATATGTATCAAAAGAGAATATAAAGCCAATATCTGAAGAGAAAAATGTAAACATTGAAGAACAGTGATCTTGTTGTGATTTAATATCCTAATGAACACTTCTCAATAGAATATCTCTGCATCATGTGCATGAACATTAAAAGCATATATTTTTATAATACTCTATAAATGTTTTAATCTAAACAGTCAAACATGTTAAATTACTTTTCTATTGGCTGCATTATAGTTGCTTATATTTGACTCAAGGAATTAAAGACATTCTAAAATATACAATTTATACTTGCTCCATGTTGGAACATGTACCGATTGTTAATATTTAAAGGAAATGAACATTCACCGAGTTCCTAAGGCATTTCTTGTATATATGAAAACACACGAGTTAGTTCTTATTTTCTCTAACAAAATTGTTCATTACTTAGTTAGCTCTTGCTTGTTCATTATGCAGTTCTTATTCACTCTCACGTCATTGATTGTTTTTACTTTCCCATAGTTTTTGTTTTATATATACTGTAGTCAATCGTGTAAATGCTGTTATGTCTTTCCTATGTATGATTCACATATAAATTTATCATTGAAAAAGATGTGCTAGGAATTGAATTATTTAATCAAATATATAAATGTCAAACATTTAAACTCAATCAATTACTACATGTACATAAGTGAATTGTAGGGCTGTAAAAATTTAAATATCGATACAGTCCGAGATCTATTTCTTATCTTGTGGAAATATCTCTCCATTTTGTCTCAATAAAGATGTCACATATGAAACAGTTTTTACTCAAATTACTGTACTTACTACTTAGTTCGATATATCGATGTATTGTCAATATTTACTCAATATTTACCTTTAGATATATCGATACATAAATTTCCATTTGTGACAGCCCTAGTGAATTGATATTTGTTATGTTTGTGAGGTAGAAATGTTGGATTTTTTTTCCAATGTGTTTCTTAGGCAGAACATAGGTTTTATTTTATGTCTAGTCCTTATTTATGCCTTACAGTATGTCTTTCACTTATTATTCATTTAATCTTTGATTAGCAATTTTATTTATCATCTTAGTTATTGAATTAATTCAATTAAGTATATTAAAAGGCAAATATTAAGATCCAATCAATGCTATATATAAAAATTGATGATATTTGTTATGTGTATGAGGTTGAAATGTTGTTGTTTTTATTCAATGTCTATTAGGCAGTACCTGTATCTAACATATAGGTTTTGTTTCATGTCTAGTCCTTATTTATGCCGTTATGTCTTTCACTTATTATTTATTTATTTATCAGGGAGATCAAGGAAATAGCTATGTGCTAGTAATTGAATTCTTTCAAATTGATTTTGTGATGTTTACATCAGAATTCTATTTTGGTTACATATTGAGGAAATTTTTTAATTTTTGTGTACAAGATTGACATGTGTTTTAAGTGTAAATAACAAAAAGAGTAATATCAATGGTTAAAGTTGTTTAAAATTACAGAATTCTTTTAATTTTTGATATATGTGCAGGTAAATAATTGGCATCTTGTTATAGAGCATAATTAACTTCCAGCAAAATGTCCTATCTGGCTTAAGTGCATATTAAATTATTATTCGATAATTAAAAAGCATTAAATATATTACAAATAACATCAAACCTATGTAATGTATTGCTCAGCTGTCTGTCAAATATTTCTTGCTATTTGATATTATGATATGAAAGATAATTCTTGTATAATACATAAGTTCTGATGCGAATTTCAATATAGTAATATGATATATATGCAAATTTATGTCTATTAAATTAATTGTTTCATACATCATTGTTTGTTCTTTCTCTAGGAAATTTATATGACATTACTTTCCTAGTCTTTGGCTGAAAGTAAGGCTTCTTAACAGCTTTAAGAGCCGTCCAATAAATGGTGATAACTATCTGTTAAATGAATATATACTAAATGTAGAGCTGTCATTGATTCAGTGCAAAGCATGTCAAAATATATTAATATTGAATGACAAATATCAACTATAACCGATATATCAATAATGACCTATAACTGTCTGTCGTGTTTAAAAGATTTCAGTTAAAAACATGATCTCTTCAGTGTCGTGTTTATAAAAGCTCATTGCATGACTTTTTTCTAGACCATATTTTATAAAAAAATTGTCATCATCGCTTTGAAATATTTCCACTAAAGAACAACATCATAATATTAGACATAGATAACTGCTTCTGTATATATTTTGGGTAAATTTTATAATAATAATTTCTTGACATTTAATTAATGAGTAAAAGTTGTCCATTTATTTTAATTTTTTATGGATTAATGATGTACAAAAATGTATCAACAATACAATTATACATCAATATTGTCTTTATCGGTGACAGCTCTAACTGAAAGTATGAAAATTATATAGCCTGATTATTATCCAAGTAGAAGAAGTTAAAACTTCATGCTTTTAAAATAATTAATACCAACTTTCATGAAAATTATGAAAGGCGATTAGAGACAGAAAATTACCAATTTCAAGCAGCTCTTTCAACCAACTTAATTTAGCAAATATAGGTGTAATATGAAATAAACTAGAACTCTGCGAGTCGGATGTGTCGCCCTGTGAACAGTATAGCCGTCACATTTAATAAACATTATTTGTAAAAACCACTCTTACAAAGTGCATGTACCTTGAACTTTACTGGCATTTGAACTGATTGTAACAATGTTACATCAGGATTGATGTAGCTTGAATAGCTTATTGTTTAGTAGAATGGCCCAGACAAAAATATAGTATAATTATTAACAAAGGGTAATAACTCTAAAATCATGACAAACAGAGTACTGGTTCTTGTGCACTACTCTTCTTCTCAATGAGATCTATCATCCATTGAAGTTTCATGTCCATAGCTGTTATAGTTTATGTGAAATGGCCCAGAAAAAAATAAAGTATGAAAATTAACAAAGGGCAATAACTCAAAAATCACTACACTTTGGGTCATTGAAAAGCATGCATACCAAGCTTGGAGTCAATCTGACTTAAAGTGCTTGAGTTATGTTCCAGACAAGCTTTAGGGGATGCCGCCTGCCGAAAGTAATCCCTATATGTCGCCTTATTCTATAAAACTAGCCGTAAGTGCATATATCTTATAGTGTAAAATGGAAATATGGTAATAAATAAATTATAATGTAAAATCAATCATTTATTGGGTACATGTATGTCATGTCATTTATTATTTTGTGATTTGTATAGCATTCTACTTAGTACATAATTATCAAGAGTTCATCTGGAGGTCTAAGCTTTAAAGCAGCATGCCTCAGAATCGTGTCAATTTTCATGAAAATTTTGAAAATGTCTTTTTGCTGTGACTGTTTACAAGTTGTGCCTCATCTGCGAATAATAGGCATTTGAAAGTTTACAAGATATGCACAAACTGTAAAAATCTGCTCAACCAAATCTTGCATATTTAGTCGAATGACTCTTTCCAAATGGTAGAAGCATTTAATTCTTTGTATTACTCGTTCCACATGAATCCTTGCTTTTGAAATGTACTCCGATCTATTAGCCTCCTGCTTAGTTATTTGTGGTCTATCACGTCCTTTGAATTCCGGAATCAACAACTTGACACCTTTCTTTTTAAGTTCACCACTAATATTGAATCCACGATCAGCCATGACAGTTTGTCCAGAACTTAATCCATTCATGAGTGTATCACTATTCAAGGTAATATGTTTGTCTGAAGATCTCCCTCCCCAAGCCTTTGAAACATAATTAACAGCTATTTGGTGAAAGACCTACTAAGAATTTTACAGTATCATGATGTTTATAGTTTGAGAAAGTCCTTTTCCTTGCATCTAAATTTGAAGCTCTTTGCACCATAAGTTCTGTACAGTCTATTATGATTTTCAATTCCTCAAAACTACTAAAGCACTCTGCTTTTTCTTCCTCACTACTTTGCATTTCAAACAGTAATTTGAATTCAGTGCACAAAATGTTAATCCATGTGCTGAATAACCGTGAAATGTGTGCTGCGCTGGTGTCAAATGTGTGGGCTAGGTCTTCGTTGAAATTTCCAGTTTTCAACTTCACCAGCACAATGAATACTTCTTCTTCAATTGTGAATTTTCTGTCCGGCCCTCTACCACACGAAGGAGACTCAGTGGAATTACTGGTTGACTGTCCTCTCCAATAACTAACACCTGTACTTTCTAGACGTAGCTTAAGATAGTTACACAATGCAGCAAAAACAGCATAATTTGGCAAGCTAGTGTAAAATTGAAATTTGTCATCATTATCTTTAATGTTTTCCAGACGTAACTGTTTGGACTTCAGAAGTTCATTCTCTTTCTCCAATTCAATCATTTTTGTTTCCTGGTTAGAGCTGTCTACTGAGGCAGCACTTGTCTTAATATAGTCATGATCTAAAGGGACATCAGGAAAGTTAAGACTCCTTTGTGCTTTAGGTCGACCAGGTCTTTCTGCAGTGTGTGAATCAGGTACAGGCTTTCTTTTACTTGATAATGGTGGAGTATGTGCATGACCTTAAAGAGAAAAGAAATATGCACTGAATAATTAATTTTTTCATGTGAGATAATGATAACAGCAAATAACAGTCTATTCACAGACCTTTATGCACTACTATTATTTGCCTGTCCCAAATTCATCTAATTTTGGCAAATGTTGAACAGGCATAGTGCAACAAAATGTAGATGCGAATTAATCAACAAAATGGTAGGTTGCAGTAGTCTTCTTCACCTTAGAATCATTGATTAGAGCCACTTTTGAGTCTTGACAGTGTTTTCATATATGACACTTGTACCAGTTAGTTCCAGGTAGCCAGCTTATAAGTGATAAATTCAAGTTGCAAAAACTTGTTTCTCAAATTAAGCTAGAACTACAGAAAATGAAGTTTTCTGATCTTAATTCAAGTAGTTATAGTTAAAGTATTTGTTAGATAGCTCCCCTTTTCCATTAAGTCAAGTTCAAAATATATTTCAATGACAAGGCAATAATTTTCAGGAAACATTGTTATTTGTTTTGTTTTCTACACTTTCACTATCATTACACGGTCCAACAACATCACTTTTCAAAAATATGTGAGGACATGTACATAAATTTGAGATAATTCAAATAAAGAGGTACCTGCTGTCTGTGACCGTTTTGTTTCTCGTTTCTTGGTGCTGCTTCTTGGAAATATACTTGGGATAAATGAAGCAGAGTGAGGGCTGCGTGACCTACATCCTAGAATAGAGTTTTAAATAATTATTAATTTCAATTTTGAATAAGCAGACTAGCTATAAGACAGTTCCAAAATAAGTGCCTTCTTGGCGGTAGTTGTCAGTGGCCACTCTTCAGTATTTCTGCTTACTTCAAATTTGAAAAAATCTCTGCAGATTTATATTTTTAATATGTAGCATATGCTTATAGAAAGTATTTTATCTGCTTTGAAATTGCTTTTTAATATAATCTAAAAGAGGTGCACATTTATTTTTTGAGTTTGGAAAGGATTCCGAGTACAGGCATTTGAGGTAGTTGTAAGAAAATGCTTTTAAGATTTATTTTACTTCAAAAATATCTATACCTCCAACAAAATGAGCCGAGCACACTCGAGAATGAGATTTTGGTTCAAAAGGAACAATCTTTCCATTTTCATCAATTACATCCCGCCTTATTCTGTCTAGCCATATCTTCTTCTGTTTGACATCTTTAGGGAAACTGTAGAAGGATAGTTTCAAACCATTTCTGTTGCATCGACCTTGAGAATTAGTACAGCCTGGCACACAACAATATGCACCGACAGACCCTTTGTATCCACCAGCTATTTTAGGTGAACGTGGAAGGCCCTCCATATCTCTGAAAGTATGAAATAAGTAGTAATATATAACATCTAAATAAGCACCATAATTAAATGTTCCAGATCTTTTTTCCCAAGTGTTTATTTGAGCACACACATTATAATGTTAAAAGTAAAAATACATCAAAATATTTTGATAGTTTGCTGGTGTATATAAATTGTCAAGTTTGGATCCAGATTTTAAGAAAAAATGGTTCTGCAAAAAATGAAATAGGATCAAAATATCATTATATGCACAGTAATGGCAAAATATTACATAAACTACCTGAAAAAAGTATGCTTAGCCCGTAAAAGAAGCTTAAATCAGACAATACTTGTCAAATTAAAAACAATTACCCCACCCACTCCTAAACTCAAACGCAAGTCGATTTTGTTCTGATTAAAAAATCATAGGCTAGGAGAAGATCTCTTCATTGTTCGTAATGATCAATTTATCTTTAAGAAATTCTTTTTAACTCACCTCTACGTCTTTTCTGAGTCTGAATTATTATTTTTAACTGTTATCTGCGGCAATCAAACGATCAGGTTTATTTACTACCGGTAAACCGGAAGTCACTGTGCCCGCAAAGGATTATGGTCTATTGGAAAGTGGAGAATTGCATTATTTTATTGTGAAACTTTGTTAAATAATAACATGTGTATTTATTAAATCTGTGAAATATTGTTTAATTACATTAAGATGAGACTTCAATGAACAAAGCATTGTTTGGAGTATCGGGCATCAGTGGCCTGAAGTGCAGTGGTGCGACGGGTATAGACGTTGATTTTTTTTTGTTTCTTTATTTATTCATTTTTTTTTTGATATTGTTACGTATTTTGAACCATAAAAAATCTCCTCTCTACCTTCTGTGAAAATTTAATTGTCTAATCAATACTTAATTATATAAATATTTCCCTACGTTCTACTAGATTTATCATAAAACTAAAGATGTGGGGAAATGACATCACGCGCACCTGTTTTTATACGGCCAATACACAAACATGGCCGCGCTTACTGATTTTGTAGAAATCGATGATTTAGCGATTTAAATTTTGTTATCATTCGTTTAATATTATTATTTGGCGGCAGAAAATTTCCAGATTTATTTTTTATAGTATACTTTTTCTGAAATCAAGTTTTTATTCTAACCTTGTCTTTCCCTTTAAATTGATCAGCATTTTATTTTTGCGTTGACATGACTAAATACAATATATTAACTTTGCAGACAACATAAAATGAATAATAATTTCACGGCAAAATATCATTTTTCTCTATATATCTTAATAGTCAGCCTTTTCTCGCTTGCATGTAAAGAGCGTTAAACTTGCCGAACATATAGAATAAGAAGTTTTACGGCCTTAAATTAAATTGAATTAATATCTAGCTGATCAGCAGTTTTTCACAAATTTATGTGAATATATTTTATAAAATATGTTTTCCTGAATGTAAAGAGCGTTAAATTAATTCATTAATGAACTAAACAAAGAAACAATCTGTTTAGAGCTAATTCTTAATAAACTGTATGTAAAATTTACGGCCAAATGATCCACATTTTATTTATTTTTTGTGTGATATATCCAAAGAGGGTCATTTGTGTTTTCACACCATGCAATTCGATCTCAATCTGATTAAAGGGTAATAAAACTTTAAATTGATCGATCTATACTTCTGTTACGTAATATGTTAAGTAATTTATGTCATGTGTAAACAATGTTTTCACACGTTTTTGGGGTCAATCAGATATGTCATTGATTCATTTTTGCAATCCAATCAATTTATTAGCCGAATGATGATTCCTTTATTCATTGGTAATTGAAAATAAGTACTGCATAACCCAAACTCAGCCCAAATTTATTGCTTAATGATTATGTTACGGTCAAAGAAATTTTAGGTAACCATTCAATCAAAACCATAATTTTTATTCATTAAAGTTATTCTTTGCTGATTCTATTTGTAAAATATTTTGTTGATTTAAGTGGTCAGCATTTGCTCGCCTGAATGAAGGTTAAATTTTGCTGACCATATAGAAAAAGAAGAGTTTTACGGCT